GGATTGTTAAAATATCCAAATGATTTTCAGCAATCAAAAGCAATGAATCAATTGTGGTTCAAAGATACTACATCAACAGCAGATTTAGTTAATAATGCAGGATTTTCAGCAAAACAGCAATATATCATTCAAAAACCAACTACAAAAGGTTCATTTAAATTAAGTATTCCATTAAGACATATTTTTGAATTTTGCGAAGACTATGATAAAGTTTTTTATGGATTAAGAAATGAACTTTATATGTTAAGAGCAAGTGATGATAATGCAATTTTTAGAGCTGCTGGTGTAGCTGCAGGAAAAGTAAATATTACTAGAATATCATTAATGATGAGACGTGCAATACCATCTACTGTAGCAGATTTAGAACTTACTAAAATAATTAAATCACAAGAAACACTTGATCTAGGTTTTAGATCAATGTACTTAGATAAAATAAATGTTCCACAAAATTCATCATTTGAGTGGAGATTAGGATCAAAAACTACTGAAAGACCGAGATATATACTTGTTGGTTTTCAAACAAATAGAGAAGGAAATCAAGAACAAAATGCTTCAATATTTGATCATTGTGATTTGAGAAACATGTGGATTGAACTTAATGATTAAAAATATTCTGAAACTAATTATAGTTTATCATTTCCAAATATGAAAATTACTAGAGCTTATAGACATGCATCAAATTTTGCTGAAGATTATTATAATATGACAAATCTTATTAGTCTATGTGGTATAACTTCTTCAGACTATAGAGATTTATATCCTATTATGTATTTTAATGTAAGTAAACAATCAGAAAAAATGAAAAATTCAACATTAGATATTAAACTTAAAGCAGAATTTAATACACCTGTTCCAGCAGGTACTATAATATTTGTTCTCATCATTTCAGATAGAATAGCAAAACTTACTTCTAATGGAGATAGATTAAGATTTAAATATTAAGTCATGAAGTGACTCATTCTACTCTACGCAAATTATAAAAAAATATAAAAATGTGATTTTTTATAGAAAATTCTATAAAAAATTGAAAATGAGTTAAATAATTTTCTTGCATATATAAAATGGAAAAAGAAAATTTATTACAAAACAGAGAATATGAAGAACTTAAAGATGAAATAAAATTAATGATGTTAGAATTAAAATTAAAATCAAAACTATTAAAAAAAGAACGAAAATTTGTTCATCCATTATCAAGAGTAAGAATAATGGAATATGAAATAAAAGAATTACAATTAGAATTATTATCTAAAAAATTAAGATTAAATTTAATAATAGAAGAAAAAATTTTAGAAAATTTAGTAAAAGAAACAGGATTAGAAAAAAAATTATATTTGCTATCATATTTAATATTTGAAGAAAAAAGATTAGAGTTAAGAAGATTAGATGAAGTATTAGACCGCTTAATAATCTATCCTTTGTTTGATCGTGAAAATTTTAATTATGTTGATGATATTGATGCTAATGGTAATGATGTTGATATTGCTTCGTTAGATTGTGAAAATTCTAATTATATGAAAAAATTTATTTTTTTATTAGGATTTAAAGATTATATTAACATATCATCAAAATTAATATCAGAAAAAGAATTAAATGAACGAATAAAAAATTTAATCTTCAGTGAACATGATTTGATTTTTTTAGAAGATGAAATAAATAAGACTGAAGATATAGAATATTTATATTCAGAATATTCGGAATATATTAATATGGAAGAAATAGAATATTTTTATTCACAAGATAATTTAATAACTAGATTAAGATTCTTAGAAGAAGACTTAGATAGAGTGTTAAAATTAATAAGATTAAAAAAGAGAGCTACGCTAAATACTGAAATAGAAGAAATATTGTTAAAAAAATTAATTTCAAAAATAAATTCTTTAGAAAAAATAACAAAAAAGAGAAAAATAAAAATTAGAAAAGAAGATACAAAAAAATTATGAAAAAATAAAAAGTAATAATAATTTAAGTCAATTAAAAAATATACCTATTTTTGAAATTTTAAAAAAAGATAAAGGAGAAAAAATGGTTAATGAATTAAGTTCATTAAAAAGTATTTGAATACAGTAATAATTATTAACAGAAAAAAAAAAATATTGTTTAAAAGAGATAAAAAAAAACTTGAAAATACTATAAATCATTGTAAAGATTATACATGTAAAAACATATTAATTTAAATTTATTTGAAAATAATATAAATAATTTTCTTGCGTATTTAAAAAGAATGAGTGACAAAATAAAATATACAAAAAAGTATTTATTAAAATTACTAAAAGAAAATAATGTACAACAAACATCTAAAGATCTTATGGCGTTAGTTATGATTGCTATGGATAATAATTTAATTGATAAAGAATCTGTACAATCAAATATCATTACTAAAAAAGAAAAAGTTAAAAAAGTAAAAATTAAAAAAGAAAGAATTAAAAAAGAAAAAGTTAAAAAAGAAAAAGTTAAAAAACCTAAAAAAGAAAAACCAATAAAAGAGAAAAAGCGTACAGGAAGACCAAGAATTCATCCTATAAAAGAAAAAAAAGAAAGAGATCCTAAATATGATAGGCTTGTAACAATTAGAACAAATCCAACAACTATAAAACTAACTAATGTAGAAACTGGAGAAGTTAAAACATACAATTCTAAATATGATTATATAAGAAAAGAAAAACATGGGCATATATATATTTAGAAAAGTATAATGGAAAAGTTAAAAATGGTGTATTAATAGAATTAATAAGAACTAAATTAGAATGTCCTGAAATTACTCAAGCTATGATAGATGAAAAAGAAAATTTATAATTTTTTAAATTATTTTTATAGACTATCTATAAAAATATAAAAAGAAATTTATTTAAATAATTTTTTAACATACTTTTTAATTTTTTGTACAAAAAAAAAATAAAAAATTGAAAATGACTTAAATAAAAAAAATCTTATATATATAAAATGGAAAATATGAGATTAAGAAAATTAAAAGAAATCGCTAAAGAGCGAAAAATTAAATATTATAAAAAGAGAAAAGAAGATCTTTTAAGAAATTTACAAAATATATTAGATGAACCTATTCCAAGTAATATCACACAAAGTTCTCTAACACCTCAGTATGTTCCAAGTAAGTATATTAATATCGTTAAGAACAAAGTTAATTCATTCGCTAATTGGATTATGGACTATGTTCCTGAACCTATTAAAAATACTGCAAATTATAAAATCGAATCAATGAAGTCTACAGTTTCTAATTTGTATAAAAAATTTGGACTTAGAAAACAAATAGAATTCAAATTAACACAATCAGCTATTAAAAATGTAACAAGGCAATTTTCAGCTCAAGGTGTTGTAGGATATGATGCTTTGTCCTTTATGAACTTAGCTAAAAATAATGTCATTAAAATACTCAATAGCAATAAAGGATCAAAGATCCAAATCGATCTTTTATGTGAAATGGAAAGTATTGATACTATAATAGGAGAAACTATAACAGGTATTCCAATTTTTAAATCATTATCAGAAGTTGTTTTAGAACCAACAGATTTGAATGACTTTTATAAAAGAGCAAAAGAAAAAAATTTAGAATCCATGGCTACATTTCAACGAACAAAATCAAATTGGAGATTTGTATCAGTTGTAGAGATGAATTAAATATCATTGAATATAAGCCTATTAAAGGTAAATCTTACATTCCTCTTCCTAAAGAGTTGGCAGCTAAAAAAGCAATTATTAATATGAAGAATGAAGACAACGAATGCTTTAAGTGGTGTGTTGCTCGATTTTTTAATACTAAAGAAAAAAATTCTGAAAGAATAGATAAAGATTTAAAAGAACAATCTGAGAAATTAAATTGGGAAAAAATAAAATTCCCAGTGTCACTACAACAGATTACTCAATTTGAGAAAAATAATCAAGACATAAGTGTTAATATCTTTGGTTATGAAAGTTCAGTTTATCCTTTAAGAATATCAAATGAGAAAAATAGACAACATAAAATAGATTTATTACTCATTTCAAATGATGATACAAATCATAATTGTTTAATAAAAAGTTTAAGTAGATTACTTTCATCACAAATATCTAAAAATGAACATGAAATGTTTTATTGTAGAAATTGCTTGTTAGGATTTAGTACTGAAGAATCTTTATCAAAGCATAAATTGTATTGTGATACTCATGATTCAGTACGAATTGAGCTTCCAAAGCCAAATACAATGATTGAGTTTAAAAATTATAACAAGTCTATGAGAGTGGCCTTTGTAGTCTATGCAGACTTTGAAAGTTTTATAAAACCAATCAACACTTGCTCACCTAATCCAAATGAATCTTATACAAAGCAATACCAAAAGCATACACCTAGTTCATTTTGCTACTATATTAAATGCTTTGATGAAAAAATATATCAAAGTAAACTAGTTACATTCACTGCAAGTAATGAAGATGAAGATGTAGCACAAAAATTTGTTGATATGCTAGAAGAAGATGTAAAAAAGATTTACAACAATTATTTAAATTTTCCAAAAAATATGATATTTACTAATAAAGACAAAAATAATTTTGATAATGCAAAAATATGTCACATTTGTGAAAAAAATCTTAATGAAGATAAAGTATGAGATCATTGTCATATTACTGGAAAATATAGAGGTGCTGCACATATCTATTGTAACTTACAATTTAAAAATTCAAAATTCATTCCAGTACTATTTCACAATTTATCTGGTTATGACTCTCATTTGTTCATAAAGAAATTTTCAGAAGGAGGAAAATCAGAAGGAGGAAAATCAGAAGGAGGAAAAATAAATTGCATTCCTAATAATGAAGAAAATTATATTAGCTTTTCTAAAGAACTTAAAGTAAATGAATTTACTAATAAAGAAGGTAAAAAAGTTGAAGTTAAACTACAACTACGTTTTCTCGATAGTTTTAAATTCATGGCTTCTAGTTAAGATGCTTTAGTAAAAAATTTAACAAAGGATCAATGTAAAAATATTAGAAAACTATATTCAGAAAAAAAAATGAATTTGTTGCTAAGAAAAGGTGTTTACCCTTATGACTGGGTTGACTCTATTGATAAGTTTTCAACAACTACATTACCGTCAAAAGAATCATTCTTTTCAAAACTAAATGATGAAGAGATAAGCGATGATGATTATTCGCATGCACAAAATGTATGGAATGAATTTGAATGTAAAACATTTAGAGACTATCATGATTTGTACAATCTTTCAGATGTTCTATTGTTAGCTGATGTCTTTGAAAATTTTAGAAATGTTTGCATGAAAAATTATAAATTAGATCCTGCTTGGTACTATACAGCACCATGGTTAGCTTGGGATGCTGCTTTAAAAGAAACTAAAGTAAAATTAGAATTATTAAATGATTATGATATGATTCTTATGATAAAGCAAGGAATACGCGGGTGTATTAGTATGATTTCTGACAGGCTAGGAACTGCTAATAATAAATATATAGAAACCTATAATGAAAGTAAAGAGTCTACCTTTATACAATATTTAGATGCTAATAATTTATATGGATGGGCGATGAGTAAACCCCTTCCAACACATGGATTCGAGTGGATGAGTGAGGAAGAAATAGAAAATTGGAAATCCATTTCATGTATATTAGAAGTAGATATAGATTATCCTGAAAATTTAGATGATTTTCATAATGATTATCAAATTGCACCTGAAAGGGTAATCATTGATAAAGTAGAAAAATTAGTACCTAATCTACATCATAAGAAAAATTACATCATACACTATGAAAACTTGAAATTGTATGAAAGATTAGGACTAAAATTGACTAAAATTCACAGAGGCATAAATTTTAAAGAAAGCGCATGGCTAAGTAAGTACATTGAGCTCAATACAAATTTGAGAACAAAAGCTACTAATGAGTTTAAAAAAGACTTTTTTAAACTCATGAATAATTCTGTGTTTGGAAAGACATTGGAAAACATTGAAAACAGAGTTGATGTGAGACTAGTCACTAAAAGAGAAGAAGCAATTAAATTAGCATCAAAACCAAACAAAGAGAGTAGAACAATATTCGATGAAAACTTAATAGCGATACATATGAAAAGAACAAAACTAGTCTATAATAAGCCTATTTACTTGGGTATGTGCATTTTAGATTTGAGCAAGACACTAATGTATAAATTTCACTATGATTATATAAAAAATAAATATGGTGATAGAGCTAAACTGTTATTCACAGACACAGACTCATTAGCATACGAAATAAAAACAGAAGACTTTTATGCAGATATTGCTAATGATCTTGAAAGTAAATTTGACACTAGTGAATTTGACAAAAATCATCCAGCTGTTCGAAATGGATTTAAAGTAGGTATTAATAAGAAAGTATTAGGAATGTTTAAAGATGAAACTGGAGGAGCACAAATTGAGGAATTTGTAGGACTCAAAGCCAAATTATACTCTTACAAATTACATGGAAAAGAAAATAAAAAATGTAAAGGAGTAAAAAGAAATGTAACTAAAAAATGTATAACACATGAAGATTACAAAGACTGCCTTATGAATAGAAAAGATCAAATGAGAAAAATGAATGTCATAAGATCTCATTTACATGATGTTTATACTGAAGAAATAAACAAAATAGCACTCAGTGCAGAAGATGACAAAAGAATTATTTTAGAAGATGGTATACATACATTAGCATATGGACATTATAAATTAAAATAAACAAGCAGGTAGGCAGGCAGGCAGGCAGGCAGGCAGGTAAGTAATTTTTTTATTTAAAAAATCTAAAACTATTAATAAAAATGGACAAACATATCAATGTTGAAGGAATTATATTACCAAATTAACCCTTAACATACTTTCAGTTAATAAAAGCAGCAAAAAAATTAAAAATTAAAAATTTTAGAGGTGTATTTGTAAGAGATTAATTACGTAAAAATACACAAAAAAAAGAATGTGGAATATTAAATACTGGAGATTCAAGTACGAATGGATTTCATTGGATTTGTTGGTATAAAGATGGAGATGAAAAATTAAATTTTGACTCTTATGCATTACCACCTCCAGTTGAACTTGTTCAATATTTACACAGCCCTGTTTATTATAATAGTAAAAGAATTCAATTTGGAGACACTTCCTATTGTGGACACTTGTGCCTTTATGTATTAAAAAAGCTAGATGAAGGTGTTGATTTTCAAAGTATTGAAAATTCATTATATTGAATTAAAAAATATATATATAGTAAATAAAAAATGAGTATGAATATAGCCGGTAGTAATTCAATGTATGGTTAATCAACAGATGGATTAAATATCAACATTAATGTTGGCAATACAGCCACTACTGATGTTGATTTGAATTCACATAAACTTATCAATGTAGCTGATCCTACAGATGCACAGGATGCAGCTACAAAAAATTATGTAGATAATAATCAAACTTCTAGCAGTTCCTATCTAAAAATAGATGGAACTAATAGTATGAGTGCTAATATAAATTTGAATTCACATAAACTTATCAACGTAGCTAATCCTACTAATGCACAGGATGCAGCTACAAAGCATTATGTAGATAATAATCAGACTTCTAGCAGTATGTATCTTAGAACTGATGGTTATAATCCTCCAACTGCTGACATTAATTTAAATACAAACAAACTCATCAATGTAGCTAATCCTACTAATGCACAGGATTCAGCTACAAAGAGCTATGTTGATGATATGCAAAATCAAAGTTTAGATATCATTCCCAATAAAAGTTTAATATGCTTTGGACAAAAATCTCAAGCATTCTATGCAACTCCAGGATCATATACTATTTTTAGCTATAGTGGTAGTTCAGGAATTCTAAAAAAACTGTGGATTGCATTTACAGGATCTACTATTGCACCTAATACTGTACCAGGTAACTTATTTTTTAAAATATATGCTGAAAATGTACTTTGCATAGGTAATGATTCTATTGCAACAGATGGTGTAGGTATTAATAATACAGCTTTAGCTTGTGATTTAATAATTGCACCACTTGGTGGACCATATTATGCAAACTCTTTACAAGGATATAATGTATTTAGTACAAGTGCATTAGGAGGCTATTTTGCATTTGATCTTCCTTTTACATAAAGTTTGAATATACAATTATACAACAAAACAGGCAATTCAGTGAAAGGTTGTAACCAAATTCAGTGAAAGGTTGTAACCAAAAAACAACCTTTTATCACAAGAACTTCATCGTTGCAACAAGCATTAACTAGTATTAATCCGCTAATACCTCGATCCATCTTATCTATTAAGTTGTACTCATCAACATTTAGATATGTAAATACAACTTATGGTAGTGAATATATGCTAATGAATGTTATGGATAATGGAAACGGAGTGTATTTGAAATACATTAGAATGCATGTTGTTGGAGGATCTGGAGACTGGTGGGAATCTAGAGTTCGCATCTATGTTGGATATGGCGCTCCTACCAATACTAACTCTGTCATTCAACCTTGGACACCTTATAATAATAATGGATATACTACATTTTCTGGATATGATGTTAACAGTCGATGCATCTACGCTTCATCAGGTTTAGAAGATTTTTATCTCTTTTCTTCTCTTCATGGAATGGATCTAATGTAAGCTCATTTAATAATGAGGCATCAGGATTACTTTATCAATCAAGTAGTGTAATTGGTCCAACAACTACAATTTCATTTTATAGAAACTTTAATTCATCTGAAAGTATGCCTAGCGTTAGTAACGGTAGAAGAATGGTAGTGACACTCAACTCTGGTGATGCACAAGCTGGACAATCTGCAAGCTATGCTGCACTGCTTCTATACAACGTAGTAGAAGCATTGTCTATAGACAATGCTTCTACTACGCATAAGCACATGCGCACTAAAAAGCCACGTGACCTGTAACGTCAAACAATAGAAACAAAATTGATACTAATTTTTGAATCTAAAAAAATGATTTGAAAAATTTATTTCTTAGTTATAATATTTATACACAATATGGATGATAATGAACCCTATATTTAATTAAATATATGGTTGAAAATATGGGTGAAAATGAAAATGAGCTAGAACCAGCATACTCTCTCTACTAAGCATAAAATTATTTCTTGAACACATCCATCAACAACATATTGTGCACAGACACATAGTTGATCTATAACACTAACATCTTGTGTAAAATCCACTTCTAACAAAAGTAATCTAGCTATTTTAATATTATCTATTATGTTAATTTGTAATAATATACCAATTATTTTCGTTATTTTGTAAACTACTGTTTTTGAAAGGATTGTTACCAAATTACCTCAACCATGACCTCGGTACTCAAATGACTCCGGCCATGATACTTATGCTTTTTTTGATTCCCTTTTTGTATTTTTTTTTACTTTTTAAACTTGCCTGTTTACAATGCTGTAAATGATTGAAAAGCATTGGATCATATTTAGCAACAAGCTTAACAAGTTTCAAAAAGTTGCCCAGACCAGTCTCATTTAAGTCATATGTAGCCTTGTCCCGCAATGTCAAGTTTTGTTTACCGATCAAATAAATAGTATCAATAACTTATTCTGAAATTTATCGATTTCTTACGATATGTTTTTGCCGTCGATTATAAAGTAATGTTTCCATGTCTCTTCCAACGAAAATAATGGAATAACGCTTGAACTGCATTTGCACGATTCAATGAAGTTTCATGTTTGATAAGTCTGTTGTATAGAGTCTTACTGCTAAAATTGAAACCTAAAACAATAAAAATAAGTTTAGAAACTACTCATAAAAATGTCTACTGAGCTGAGAGGTCCCTGAATTAATAGTTAAAACAGGCATAAATTATTTATAATAAAATGGAAATAATTACAAACTAAAACCGGCAGTGGATAACAGTTTTGGTTTTCTCTGTTTTCTTTTTAGTAAACCAGATTCATTTATTTTAGACATTTAAATTACTTTAATCTATTAAAAAACGTAGACACTGTAATGAAATCATAAGTTTTACAATTTGGAACATTGTATATATACGAGGCGTAACATTACAATTGCGTAACAATACATTCCAAGAAAATAAATATACAATTAAAATATATTAAAAGCGCTATTGCGAAATATAGTTTCGAAGTTACAAACAATTAACATAAATAAGTATACAAAATGTATTTTATTGTAAATAATTGTGCTGAAATAAAAAATGTTACTGAAATAACTGGTTTTTAGGTAAGAATCTCCTACGGTTGTGGACATTAAAGAAATTGTTAACTTTGACTAATTTTTAATTAGTAAAATCATATTTTCTTTAAATGAAATGACCGCTCGGAGCGAATGCTAAAAATGCAAAATTTAAATTCAAAATGTAAACGTACTTCTTCCAGAGATTGACATTACAACTGACAAAAATACATTTCAGTTGATTAATTATTTTAACAGCGGATAAACCGGCTTTAAATGCTGGTGCTGAAGATTTAAAATTGTATAATATTAAAATACCAAGATTTTGTTTGCAGGTAGTTTTTGCAAGATTAAATCTCATATTAGTACTGTAGTCGGTAAGAGTGTAGTTTGACATTTAGGATTGTTTTTACCAACTTGCATAGTTTTACATTTATCTTTACTAAGACGCATTAGCTATGTGTTAGTCCAGTTAATAACATTGTCTAAATCAGTTTGGAGTACACTTATACTGTTCTTAAAATTTTTCAAATTTATTTTAGCAAGTAAACTGGTGTCATCATCAAATATTTTAGGTAGGACGGAGAGATTCTTACGAAGGTTATTGGTATAAATAACGAATAGTACTAGACAGAAAACTGAGCATTGAAGAACTCCGCTCATAACATCAGCCCATTCCAAAATTGATTCACCAAGAACAACACGATGTACTCGGTTAGATTGAAAGGAGTTTAGTCATTTGTGAATTTTGCGTTGAATTCCATTTTTCAATACTTTATCTAAAAGTCTTCTGTGAGAGGGACTTTGTCAAAAGCTTTTTTAAATTCAAGAAATATTATATCGACAGTATGCTTGTTTGCAACTGATTCAGATGCAAAATCAAGTGTTTCTAAGAGGTTTGTAATGTTGGCAAAAAACCATTCATTAGGAATAGTTCCAGATTCAAGTAATAGTTGAAACAGAAGAACAAGTGGTAAGGGCCAATTCAAAGCATACTTCTTTAGTACACATGGATGAACTCCATTTTTTACTCCATTTGTGTCTAAATTAAGTAAAACATTTTCAACAGCAGCTGGTGTAATTCTAAGATCTGAGAAAACAGCATTGGTGCAAAAGTTAAAAATTAGAAGCGAGTTACTTTGATTTTCTTGCACGTATACTGAACTAATCTGGTTTTTAAGAGTGTTCGCAATTTCGGTTTTATTTGTAATACTTTGTTTTGAAGCATTATCTAATATCGTTGAGATGCCATTTTTGACAGTTTTTTTCTGTTAAAGAATGCATACAGGCGTTTTAGATTCTTATTGTTGGTAGCAAGTGAATGTTTAAATGTTCGAGTACATATCTTTGTTTGTATTTCAAGGGCTCTCTTTGTAGTGATATATTCTCTGTAAAGCGATTGACATTTTCTACTTAATGATGAGGTATTAGCGTTAAGAAAGGTTGGAAAAGTAACTGCTTGTGAAAGTTCATTGTTAAGCATACCAATAGATTTTTTAACTAAGCTAGTTTTGCTTGTTTATCCATACACAATTGTCATTGAACCATTTGACATAAGGGAAATTGAAGTTTTTAGCAATAAGAAGGTCTTGATACTTTTTATTTTTAGTTGTACTTTTTATTTTTAGTTGTAATTGATTTTAGCATTTCATTATCAATTGCAGAATTTTTAAAAATAGGGTTGTTATTGCAGTTTTGTGGAGGTCTGTAGGTGCAACCTAGAATCATTGATTTATTTTTGGAGTCAATAGAGCGCCTGATCTATTAAAAGCAATAATTTTAAAGTTAAAATTAAGAGATATGTTTTCAACATGAGATGAAATGATATTTTTAGTTACATAGATTGCTACTCCCCCTCCATCAAACTAAGTTAAGTTTACTAATTTTTTTAAGTTCATTGTTTTCTTTTTTTTGTTCTTTGAGAAGGATAATTAAGAACTTTTGTTAAGCTGGTGTGCGGTCTGGTCTAATAAAAATGTTTTTGTGACATGTATTTGCAAGATTTTTAGCTATGTGATATGATATCATTACGCGTGTTTTCATTTTCTAATTGAACAACTAAATTGGATATATTTTGAGTATGTTTGACAAAGAGTCAGTTTTATGAAAAATAGATGATTTTGATATTTATTTGTGAGTGTGCACAGTTTTAACATTATTGTTTGATGACGTCATAGTCCAACTTGAGAAGTATCGTCATCTACAACTTTATTGGTATTTATTTTCTTTGATTCTGAGACCCCAGCTAATGTAAGAATTTCTTCTTTGCTTTTGTGTAATTCACTATTTAATTTGCTAATTTAAATGTTTTGATTAATACAGTATTATCAGATGAACCAGGTTTAATTAGAAGACTGTCAGTTTCACTATAACTTATTTGTGATGGTGAAGTATTGATGCAGAGGGTGAAGTATTGATGCAGATTCCTTTTTTTAAGACACAAAGGCGCTTTATTTTCGTAGAAATTCGTATTATCGATAATAAAGTGCTATTTTTAATCAGTGAATTACCTCTTGTTGTGAATTTTTTTTTTTATATTACGAACCATGTTAACACAACTGGAGTGATTAATGTGTTTTTTTCCGTTATCGGCAAAAAGGTGTTTACTTTGGCCATTAATGAGTTAAGTATTGTTGATATCAAAGCAGTGGATCCTTTCCACGCGGATGACTTACCGAAGGGGCCATTTGACATATCTAAAAAGCCATATACATATGTATATATATGTATATACATATACATGTTAATGAGTTTGATTATTTACTATAGCATATTTATATGCGTATATTATATATATATATATATATATATATATATATATATATATATATATATATATATATATATATATATATATATATATATATATATATATATATATATATATATGTATATGTTTATATACACACACAGTTTTACAGTTATAGATTTAAATAGTTCATGTTGTACATTTTAAAAATATATTGTTGAATTATTAAAAAAAGTTTGTTAATGATATTACTGATAGTTCTAAATATTGTAACTGCTATTGTTTAATAATTAACAACGTTGAGAACATTAATTGCTTTTAAATTAAACTTTTTTTTAGAGAATTTGGTAGGAACCGACTTATATAAAGTTTCAAAACGTAGAAAATAATGTTTTGTTATTAAATATGCGCCTTTTATATTTGGTTTTCCTGTTTCTAAAGATAGAAGCAAAAGTACCAGACCAAGTGTTTTACTGGCCAATCAAACCTTTTATATTTTTTGATAACAACACGTTGGACGGTATATTGCCGCGTTTGTACAAGCGGTTAGCTGATTTATGCAGTCCTAACCAGATGCTAGCTGAATTTCATTTGGCTAACAAAACATTTATTGAGAGTATCTTTTATAAAAATGTAAAAGAAGTCTCTAATGGGTACAAGAATGCAGAAAATATAACTATAAACAATGCAATATGGTATCCTTTATTAATTACTCTAGATCTACCTTATTTGTCTACTTATAACGTGAAGGCAGACTTTTTTATTCATTCGCCAAGTGTTGGTGTTATAACTAATAAAAAAAAGATAACCATTATAAATAAAGTTATTGAATCTCTTAAAAAAAGTTCTTCAATTGTTTTGCATGCTGGCGTTTTTATTTTGATTTTCTCAACACTTCTGTGGCTAACTGTAAGATTACTAATATTTTTTTTTAATTTTATTTAGGTGCCTTAATCATAGACCACCGCGGATGAGCATTTATTAGGAAGTTCACACCCTTTTTCTAACCGATGTCGCAAAACTTGCCCAATTTTTAATCTAATTGAAATTTAAAATCATTTTATGTTGTACTTATAAATTATATGGATTAATACTCTAGCGTAACATTTGGAATGAAATAAATTCAATTTGCTTATATTAATGAGTTTGTAATATTTATTATTGTAGAAGCCTAAAAAAACAATCTGATTTGAGAAAAACTCACTTTCATAATAATAAAATATTTTTCATAATACTAAAACACTAATACATAAGTTTTAATATTAAAATGCTTTAGGGTAGATTATAATATAAAAAGTTCGAATATTTTACAAAATAATTATCCTGGATCCAAAATTTTGGCGAATAAACAATTTTTAGGGATCCCGTTTAGATATATTGACACCCGAAATATTTTTTTAAAAACACAGAGGTTTTTGTTATTACGAGGACTTGTTAATATGAGCACTTTTAATCAGCTCAAAAAATTAACATTAATTACGTAAAAAAATTAACATTAATTACGTAAAAAAATACAAACTGGACAATTAGAACTAATTTTTGAAATATAATGATTCGTTATTAACAAAACTTATCATTAAAAGATCAAATTTTAAGCCAATTTTTGTTATAACAATACTTCTATGTTTTCAGCAAGAAAAAATAAATAAATTAGTAATTTTAATATAAAATATTAAAATTTATATATAATGGAATTATATATGCCCTGAAGAAAAAACTAAAAGATCTCATAATTAACAAAACCAATTTTATCGATATGTTTTAAATATAAAAAAACAATTTATATAATAAAATGTAAAAAGAACAATTTAAGCTATAAAAATAAATAAAGAAATAAAAAAGAAATAAAAACATAAATTAAATTAAATAATAAAAAATACATATAGTTAGCAACTATACATAGTAAAATATTACTGAACAGGTGACTTCAAAAAAGTTAATGGGTGTTTTATAGATACACTCTTTAAATTTTTAGTCTATTTTGTATTTTAAAGGTTCTCGATGAAAAGACTTTTCCTAGTCTTCTGCCAACCCTCCCCCCTCCCCTACGCATTTTGCCGTACGCTTTTTTGAGTACAAAATTTAATGAGTTTTTCGTAAATATTGGTCCAAACTTAGCCAGTAAATTTAAACAAAACTCCTGCAAATTTCTTGAACTATCTATCAAAGTCGGATAAAAACTTAGCATTTAAAAAACTCGCTAGTTTAAAAACTTGATGACTCAATAAAAGTTAAGAACTTGATGACTCAATAAAAAAACTAAATATAAATAAAGCAACAGACTATGATTCTATTTCAGCAAGCATAATCAAAGGCTGCTATGAACTCATTAAATATGTTTTATTAGATATTTTTAAGAAATAGTTTAAAACAGGTGTTTTTCCACATAAACTGAAACTTGCAATTATAACACCCATTTTTAAATCAGGAGATGAAAGTCTGGTTACAAATTATCAACCTATATCGGTGTTACCTGTTTTTTCAAAAACCCTCGAACTTATATAATAGGATTACATTTTTGAATGATAACAATCTTCTTTTTATAACCAATATGGCTTGCGATCAAATTACTCTACGGAACATGCACTTATTCAACTTATTAAGTTATCAGTAGAGCATCTTCTCATAACAAATTCACTTTAGGTATATTCCTAGACTTCCCGTACGGAAAATTTCCATGGAAAATCCATGAAAAAACCCATGGAAAAACCATGGAATTTCAATTGGTATTTGGAACAAGTTCCATGGAACTTTTATGGGTTCTCGATGGAAATTCCATGGGAATTTCATGGAAATTCCATGGAAAGCATATGTATAAGCATACTGAAAATAAATGCAACAAAAAAACTAAACGTAATGCCATACTTTAAGTAATATGTACTGAAAAAACATTTGAAATAGATTAAGAATTTTTTTTTAAAGAAATAATAACAATTTACATGCTTAATATATTACTGTCGCCACCAATTAAAAAGCAATATATTGCTTTGATATATATATCAATTGGCGTTTCAAATTATTTAAAATTAATAAAAGTAATATATTATTAGGCGTTTTAAAATTATTTAAATATGATATGTAAAGTAATATATTACTTTGTATTTAATTGGTGGCTAACTACGTGCCGATTGCGCACACATAAAAAATTGATGAAAAAGTTTATTAAGTTGATCTTGTAGGACTATTCATGGAAAGTTTCGTTTTTGATACTGCCACACCAAAACACAGATCAAATTAAAAGGTTATAGAAGTAAAGCTTACAACAATCACGCAAAACTAATTTTGGTTGGTAAAAATAGACCAAGCTATTAAACATTTGCACATATGACAGCTAGATAAAAATAAGCATCTTTATCTAATGCTGATCATACTAGCATTTGACAAATACTAATGTTTTTTCTTTTTAGTGTATCTTTTTTGGTGACAATTCTCAAAAGCATTTGGCACCGTTAACCATCAGATTTTATTAGAAAAACTAAAATATTATGGAGTAAGCCACGAATACCATAAATGATTTACCAGTTACTTAACTGATCGAAAGCAGTTTATTTCTCTTAATGACGGCTTTCAAACAAACAAACTTAAAATACCATGTGGGGTTCCACAAGGCTTCATCTTAGGTCAGCTGCTGTTTTTAATCTATATCAACGATCTTTATAAAGCATCAAATTCTATGTCTACTATTATGTTTGAAGACGACAAATAACACCACTTTATTCCATTATTACAATAACATTATCTCTCTATTTTAAGTAGCAAATAATGAACTAGAACAAATATCAAACTGGCTTATCGCTAACAGCCTATCTTTAAACACTGTCAAAACTAAGTTTTCCTTATTCCATTCTAAACGAAAGTTTCAATATATTCAAAAATCCTTACCAATGCTATATATAAATGACATCAAAATTGAGCGCTCATTTACAAATAAATTATTTGGTACTTTAATAGATGGAAACTTATCCCGGAGAAATCACATTAAACATATTAGCAATAAAATCTCGAAAAATATTGGCATTTTATATAAAACCAGACAAATCTTAAACAAATCTACACTACCTTAGCTATATTTTGCATTTATAAATAGTTATTTATTTTATTGCAATATTGTTTGGGGTAGTACAAAAAAATCTAAACTCGAATGTCTCCTTAAACAACAGAATCATGCAGCACGCATTATTCATTTTTAAAATCACATCAAAAATGCTAAACCTCTTCTAAAAAGCATGAGGATTAGTCAATAAAAACGCCAAAGGTTTTTGAAAATATTTTCCCTAAAACATTAAAGCGATACAATACTCGATCAACCGGAAGATTTAAAAAACCTTTCGTACATCAAAACTTACGAGCTTTGTCATTTTCTATCATGGCCCAATGCTATGGAACCATTTTACAAACCTGATTTGTAAACTTAAAGAAACCAATACCTCTCAAAAATTTAAAAAGAACATAATCGAACTTATTTCCAATCAAAATTCTTTACATGATTTTTTCTAACAACACACTTTTATTTTCAATTTTTATTACCAAAGGTTACTGATGATAAGGTTTTATCTTCTTCTCTTTAACTACTATAAATAATGAAATATAGTTGTATTTAATATTTTTAAATATTTTATCGGAAATTACCTTTAATTGTAAATGGTTGCTTGACAAAAAATAAATAAATATAATATAATGGTTTTTTATTTAATCAAAAAACATATTTTTTATAGGAATGCAAAAAAAACAATGAGTTCAACAACTCTTTTGTAAAAGGATTTGGTACTGGTATATGGTGGTCGGTTGTTACAATAGCAACAGTGGGGTAAGATAACTTGTTGAATACTAATAAGATTTAAAATATATTGAAGATAACTGAAATTGCCAAATGCAGAATATTAATGTTTTCAAATGAAACTAATTTTAAAAGTATAGCTTTTAAATATATAGCGTTTAATAAAAAGTTAAAAAAATTTTAGTTTTAAATGGAGTTTTAAATCTAAAACATTTAATATTGATTTCATAAGTTGAGTTTTTGCAAAAACATTTTCTGATCCTATCCTAATTGAACTAATGATTCTGTTCCATGTTGAAATTCGCATTTTCATTAAAACTTTGGATTGAATACTTAGACCTCATAAAGAGTAAAAAATAAATTTGTTAATGATCATTGTTTGATATACCGTAATAACTATAGGAGAATAATAACTATAGTTATTATTATTTGTTATTAAGTTTAAAACAAAGTTGATTAAGAAAAAATGGTTTGAATTTTTTACGTCTAATTACAATTAAATTTATTCTGAAAAAAATAATTTTCTTATAGTATTTTCATGCTCAACTAAAAGCTAGTTCAACTAACTTATTTTTATGTTCAACTAAAAAAAACTAAGTTTGAAAAAAGATATTTTTTTGTTTAAAGGGGAACTTGGTTTCATTTAGTGATGCTTGACCATCAGTAAATGAAGCCAAGTTCAATTAAACAAAAAAATTCATTGAGCTGCGCAAAATGTTTAAATTTAAAGACATACTTGTAACAGTTTTTCCTTTTATGCAAATTATGTTCAATCATTTTTTTAATATACTTATTAATTTTTTGAGGTTAAAACAACTTTTGACACTAAAAGTAAAATAAATGCATTGGTTCAGGTATCAGTTTAAAAAAAGTTTAAAATAGTGCTTAAACTTTTAAATTCCTCAATTCAATTATTTATTCAGCTAGAGGAAAGGCGCCTATGATAGCATACTTAACTTTGAAGCTTCATTATTCAGTATCCTGAAAACTAATAATAAAAGTTTTGATATGGATACATTCCTTGTTACAAATAGAACAACAATAACCCTCCGATTTTTTTAACAGTTTTGTTTTTTTATACGTTATTCCTATTTAAAAAAAAAGCATAAGTATGCCATCATAAGCAATCACTTCTCCTATCATGGCATAGAGGAGGATAGGCTAGTTAGGATCAAGGGCAACTTGATGATTTCATTCAACCTCAGAGTCTTCCCTCAGAAATGCCAGAAATTACTTGGAACCATCCTAATTTACCATTTCATGCTACACAGCAGCATTGTAATTTTTTTGGCCAAAAAAAACTTTTGGAGCATTGCTTTCTTCTTACTTTACTTAAAAATAAGTTTTTCTTACAAAAATTTTTTTTTTCGGTTTCCCGAAATTGCCAATATTGCAACACACTCAACTCGTCAGTATGTTATCATAGGAAGAAGTCATCTTTTTCATTAAAGCAAGCTGTGTCTGCCTTATTCAAAAAATAAAATTAAAGTAAGTGTTTCATTAAATGCACAATACTTGGGTATAAAATGCATGAAAGTTCCCTTTCTGCTCAGTAAATAATAAAATCAACATCCTAAATATATGAAAAGAATAAAATTACAACAACACATCCCCAAATCGATTTTTGCTGATTATAAAAACAATAATTGTGGACAAGGAACGTATTTTTACTAAAACTAATGTTAAGTCAGTTTATTCATGAAGATCTAATCACTTTTTCACAAAAACCAATTTTTATGGAAATATGACCGGTATGCCATCATAGGCGCTATGCCATCATAAGTGCCTTTCCCCTATTAAAATTACTGTTTAAACTCAGCAACAACAATTTAGTAACGTGTAGTCGAAACCTGATTTTTTTTTTAAATGTCATAAATTTAATAGGAAGTTTACTTTACCTGGGGGCAGGGAGGGTTTTAATTTTATTTTGATTCGGTGGGTCCAGACCCAGGAGCGGATCAAGCAATTTTCAGAATTTGAGATAGCTAAGTTCCGAGCAAATTCTGAATAAATAAAAAATTTCAAAAGCAAAAGAGTTTGAATTGTTTGAGTTATTTGGATTTTCAAAAAAAGTCGATAAAATGACTTTAATTGCGTAAAAACTACTCTACGCCATTTTGTTTCTTGAGATATAATAGTTTTTTGAAAGTCGATGACGTCAGATTTGCTTTTCCTTTGTTTTTTGCCTTTTGTTTCTACTTTAGTAACAACTTTTTTTTTTAAATTTTATTGTTGACTTCATTGTTATTAGTTGGTGTTGATCATAATTGGTTGGGTTTTGCTGTTGAAGTATTTTGTTTCCATATTTTAAATAACTTCACTAATGAATCATGTGAATCTTGAATAATTGCGTCAATATCCATTTTGTTTTATACATCCATATATAATATAATATTAATATTTTGATAAAAAAGAAAAAAAAAAAAAAGAAAAAAACGTGACTTTGTTAGGAATAATTTTGTTCAACAATTCTTGTTGAACTTTTGAATGAAAACTTTGGTAAAAAGTAAAAGTTTAAGACAGTCATGCATAAATAATTATTGTTTTTGTTATAAAAATAATTTTTTTTTTAACAAAATTTGTCAAAATGTTGTTAAAAAAACATGTTCAATCCCGTTGTTTGTCTTGATCAAACATAATGTTTTTAAAAAAGATCTTTTGTAAAGATGAGTAAAAAAAATATTTTTATAAAAGGAGATGAATTTTTTTTAAAAATCTGAATTTTATTATCAAATAAAGTTATACTATTTAGTTACATTATTTTATTGTCAAATAAAGATGTTATGCAAAATATTGCAATAATTGCAAACAAAATTTAAAATAATATAATAAACATTTAAAATAATATATTTAAAATAATAAGAGCCGGCAGCAAAAAGGCTCCCAAATTTTTGCGCTCTTGCCTCTTACATGATAGCAACAAATTGATGAAACATTTTTTTTTTTAATTCTCAAGTAAAATAAGTTTCATCGATAAACGCAACAATGGAGCAAAAAATAATGCATAATTTTTCCTTATCACCGAGCCCCAACGCTTCTAAATATCCCTATTATATAAGTAAGAGCATTCAAATGAAAGACAATTTTTAAGAAACTAAAAAATATTATAAACAATGTATATATATATATATATATATATATATATATATATATATATATATATATATATATATATATATATATATATATATATATATATATATATATATACATATATATATATATATATATATATATATTTATCGATGAAAATAAATTTAGTTAAAAATACTAAAAAAATAATATTTTATCAACTTATTACTCTCACGTTTGGGGCAGTGGGTCAAATATTGTAAGATTTTTTTGTTTCGAGACCCCCCAAAAAATGCCAATTTTGCAAAGCATCCTTATTTAACATTAGTTTAACATGCAAATATTTAGAGCTTACTCCATGTTTATAAGTTAGCAATCTCAAATTCCAAAAAATGTAGGATCTGCCACGTCTAGTCAATCTATAAAGGAAGGAAAAAGATTTTTTTTATTGTGGTGGATTCAGACCATCTCATTTCTATTAAATAGGAGGGCGTATTTTAGTTTTGTGATCAGGCAAGCCCACTAATCATAAAACTTTTCAAGTTAATTTTGTTATAACATTATTCTTACAATGTACAGTGTCGGAATCAAATACATTATATTAAATACAAAAACAAATAAAAATTTCAAATTTCCAAATACAAATTCAAAAGAAAATATATGTAATCGCCATTTTCTAAATACAAATACAAATAAAAACATTTGTAAGGTTCAGAAAAAGTACAAAAACTTTTTAAAAACATAATCAAATAAGTTTATGTATTAGTGGCATAAATTTATGTTTTTATTTGCATTAACTGCATAAACTTATTTGATTTTTATAAAACTGATATATTTAATTCTTTGAGTTTTGGTTTTGTAAAAAACTACTCACATTTTACAAAAACCTATTTGACTAGTTTCCAAAAATTATTTACAACATGAAAGTATTATCGCTGATATGACAAGCTAAAGTTAAGGGCGGATAGAAGGGAAGCAATAATAGCTTACGCCCCCCCCCTCTCCTCAAAAACGGTGTTTTTCTTTTGGAAAAAAACACCGTAACCAATACATTTCAATCAAATACAAATATTTTTAAAAATTTTTTATCAAATACAATACGAATATAAATACGCCAGTTTAGCCCGTAACCACCAAATATAAATGCAAATTTAAATACAAATACGTATTTGACCCCAACCTTGACACTGTCTTAATCTATGTAACTATAAATTGAAGTCATATATTGTTATCGCAACGTCCCGCTTTTTTTTTTGTACCACAGATTTTTTTAAAACTTTATATCACTTTTAAATAGTCTCCTTAATTTACTTCTGTTTTCAAACATGATTTCGTATTTAATATATTAATTTGCACAAAAAAGTTATTTTCGAAATATTTAAGAGGTCGGAGATGAGAAGAGGGGGGGGGCGAAAGCCATTATTGCTTCCCTTCTATCCGCCCTTAACTTAAGCTTGTCATATCAAGTAAATAATACTTTCATGTTGTAAATAATTTTTGGAAACTAGTCAAATAGGTTTTTTTAAAACGGGAATAGTTTTTTACAAAACCAAAACTCAATGAATTAAAAATATAAGTTTTATAAAATCAAATAAGTTTATGCAGTTAATCCAAATAATTACATAAATTTATGCGATTAATGCAGGTGATTTATGGAACTCATATAAGTAATTCAGAGCCTATAATTAGAAGTAAATTAGAAGTATCTCGTACTTTATTCAGATACGGTGATATAGTTCCAAAATCACTGATTGGTCGAATTCTTTCGATACTTTGGATGATAATAGGAATTGTTCTCGTTTCGGGATTGACTGGAATGTTTAGCTCAGTTATGACAAATAACTCTTTTTTGAGTATACAAGATCAGAAGGTAATTACATATTTTTTTATAGTTTTAAAATATTCTTAAAAAAAATAACGAAATGTTTTTAGCATTCGTTTTAATAAATTAAAGCTAAAAATAAAGTTTATATTTAAATAAGTATAATATAAAAATGACAATAATAATTACAACAAAAGCAATAATAATAACAATAACAAAATATTAACAATAATAACAACAAAAGCAATAATAATAATAACAATAACAAAATATTAACAATATTAACAGCAAAAGCAATAATAGTAATAATAACAAAATATTAACAATAATAACAACAAAAGCAATAATAACAACAATAACAAAATATTAACAATAATAACAACAAAAGCAATTATTATAACTTTAACAACAATGTTTAGATTTATTAATAACATAAGTAAATTATGAAGACTAACATTTAAATTGTTTATTAGTTTTGCAGATAGGCTCCCTAAAGTTTTGCAGATGGGCTCCCTAAAGTTTTGCAGATGGGCTCCCTAAAGTTTTGCAGATGGGCTCCGTAAAGTTTTGCAGATGGGTTCCTCAAGTAGTTTACATATTAACTTATTCAACAGATTTGAAAAAGCTCTTTCTGATAAAAAAGAACAAGATCTAAAAAAGTATATTGAAGATATAGAAGTTTTATTAAAATGTTTTGAACTACAAATTTTAAAATAGGGGATTATTTTATAAAACAATAACTTTGTGTTATTCATTCAAATTTGTTATATTTACTTATCAAAAACCTACTTTAATTATTTAAAAAAATTAATTATTACTTTTAATTTCAGTGTGCCCGCCCCCTGGTGTTGTCAACCCTGCAAAACTTTGAGGAGAAATATTAATTTAAGCTATTTTTTACTTGAACTTTCTTTAATAAATTATCAATTGAAAAACGCGGACCCAAATAAAACAGCCCAAAAACGTCGAAATGCGTACAAAATAAGAATAAACCTAAAATTTATTTTTATAGAAATAAAAGAAATGTTAGTCAGCGATTTTTTAATAATTTAAGTATTATCATAGATTCAAAAAGAAATTTAACCATTTAGAGTCTGTTGTTTAGACAAATTTATTATTATAAAAGATTTTCTGTTTTTTTTTTTTTTTAAAAGGGTTAGAATTTTATTTTATAATTTGACTTTATTATTTTAGGTGGCTGAACTTTTTTGAAAACAATGAATGAAAAACTCGTTGAATTGTTTTATTTAATTGTATTTTTTTTTTTATTTGGTCGTGTACCTAAAATAACAGATTTAGTCAATATAATACTTATATGGATTACCTTCTATTTCAAATTGCAAAAGATGTCTTAAATGTTTTAAAAGGTGTCTTAAATGTTTTAAAAGATGTCTTGAATCGTTTTGTTTTACAAAAAAAATATCGTACTATTAACGTGCCCAAATTTTTCTATATGATGCAAATTATTTGAACTCAGAAATTTTAATTTTCAAAATTCATTCAAAACTTCGCAAACATATCGGTAAATTTACTCAAAAAAAATGTTTTTATTATTGAACTACAATTCAAACTTCAGAGTAGGCTACCCTAAAGTAAGAGTAGGCTACCCTAAAGCTACCCTAAAGTAAAAGTAACCTACTGTTTAAAAAGTTAGAGAATAGCGGGCAGCTTTATATGTTTCTCTAAGTTTTTATAATAATTTTTTCTAACAGTACAAACACACAGATCGAACAATGCAACTCAGATCGAACAATGCTAAAAAGTGTTCCTAATTTTACATGTCTTAAAAACGAAACGAACTATACTACCACAGCAAACAGTTCAGGAGTCTGGAGTCATAGCATGCCATGACATGAGCAATGCTCATGTGATAGCATGCTGTGTGCTGTCACCTGTCATGGCATGACAGGTGACAGCACACAGGTGACAGCACACATCAGCTGACAGGTGACAGCACACAGGCAGACAGCACACAATCAGCTGACAGGTAAACTAAGATGAAAATTATTGGCGATTACGTAAGTGGAATGTCACAAAAAAGTATTTGTGATAAATATCGCGTGAAAAAATGGACCGTAATAAGATTATATTCCAAATATTGTTCTACGGGGAAGTTGGCAGCAGAAAACAAAGGTAGAAGACCGCGTTCCACCAATTCTTGAGAGGATTCTGTGATCGACAGATCCATCAAGAAGGATCCCTGGATATCATCAGTCAAGATACAAAAGCAATTAGAGCTGCCTGTATCGGACCGAACAATCAGACGACGTGCTATTGAAGCCGGATTGTTTTCTCGAGGCTCTGCAAAGAAACCGCTAATTTCACTAAAGAACCAGAAGAAAAGACTCCTGCTTGCTACATCTCATATTGACTGGAGTGATGAATTGAAATTCAACATCATTGGGAGTGATGGCTTTTGCCGTGTACGTCGACCGGCCGGAAAACGCCTCGATTTACGTTACTGCCATAAGACCGTGAAGCATGGTGGAGGTAATGTAATGGTCTGGGGGTGTTTTTCTGCTAACGGTCTAGATCTAATACATCAAATCGATAGAATATTGGACAATTTCATGCATAAAAATATCCTGAAAGATGTTATGTTACCTCATGCTGAATGGAATATGCCAATAAAATGGGTTTTTCGGCAAGACAACGATCCGAAACACACTGCAAAAGTAGTCAAGCAGTGGTTTCAAGACAACCACCTATCGGTTATGGATTGGCCGCCTCAATCTCCGGTTCTCAACCCTATCGTAAACCTGTGGGAGATTGTCAACCGCAGAATTAATCGTGAAGGTGTTTGTAATAAAGATCAACTGTTTGAACAAATCTAAAAGGCCTGGGCAGCGATTACACAAAGTTTCATTGATCAGCTTATCGAATCTATGCCTTTGAAGATACAAGGCTATGATCGACAACAAAGGATTCGCCACGAAATATTGATAGCGAAATACAGCTTGGTCAACATTTTGTGGAGTTGCACTTGTTTTGTCCAGAATAAAATCAACTTTTTAAAATATTTTTTATTAATTTTTAATTTTCGTGTACAAATAATGAACTTTGTGATGAATAAAACTTGAAAAACGTTGTCTCTAAACAGTTACATAGTTATTTCTCTAATCTGAAAAAATACAGCACTTTTATATAAAGAAATTAGCATTATTTGGTTGCACTTGTTTTGTCCGATACTAGATATATATACATATATACATATATATATATATATATATATATATATATATATATATATATATATATATATATATATATATATATATATATATATATATATATATATATATATATATATATATATATACATATACATATATATATATATACATATATATATATATATATATATATATATATATATATATATATATATATATATATATATATATATATATATATATATATATATATATATATATATACATATATATATATATATATATATATATATATATATATATACATATATACACATATATATATATATATATATATATATATATATATTTATACATATATACATATATATACATATATATATATACATATATACATATATATACATATAAATATATATATATATATATATATATATATATATATATATATATATATATATATATATATATATATATATATATATAAATATTTATATATAAATATATATATATATTTTTTATTGGGATTGTAACGTAAATCGTGCAGTTCCTTTTTCGAAAATTGATGTTTTATTGTGAAAAAATGGTTATACATTCAATGTTCAAAGTATTGTCCATCGGAAGCTACGACATTTGCCCATCGCTTTGGTTGGTTTTGGATTCCATCCCAAAAGAACTTCTCTGGCTTGGTGGCCAAGAACGAATCAAGCCAGTTTTTGATACCATCAAATGAAGTGAAGCGTGTTCCGTTTAGGGCATTCTGCATTGATCGGAACAAGTGGTAGTCAGAAGGAGCTATGGTCAGAAGGCAGGTGAGATAGAACTTCCCAGTCGGTATTTTCCAAATAATTCTTAACCGGTCTTGCAACATGAGGTCGAGCATTGTCATGTTGGAAAATTATGGCCTCGTGTCTGGTCACATATTCTGGACGTTTTTTCACAATTTCTGTCTTTAAACGCATTAATTGTGTTCTGTAGAAATCCCCTGTGATCGTTTGGTTCAATTTCAACAGCTTATAATAGAGCACTCCCTTCTGATCCCAAAAAATACAGAGCATTACCTTTGCACCATGAATATTTGGCTTCGCCGTTGATGTTAATGGTTGGCCAGGCTATACATACTATTTCTTGCGCTTATTGTAGTGAATCCATTTTTCATCACCAGTAACAATCCGATGCAATAACAACTTCCTTCGATGGCGTTCAAGCAGTATTTGCGACATGCAAAATCGCTTTTCAACGTCTTCCGGCTTCAATTTTTTCACCCAATTTCCAAGCTTTTGGATGAATCCCAATGCTTTTAAATGTTTAAAAATGGCTGTTTGAGTGACTTCCAATGATTTTGCAAATTCTTCTTGCGTTTGGCACGAATCTTCTTCGAGCAATGCTTTCAATTCTTCATCTTTAAACTTTTTTGGCTGTCCGGGTCGTTCTTCGTATTCAAAATTGAAATTGCAACTTTAAAACCGTGCAAACCACCTCTGACACGTTCTTTCAGCTAAAGCATGATTGTCATAAAAATCCACTAAAATACGATGACTTTCGGTAGCACTTTTCTTCATATTGAAGTAATAAAGAAGACACTTTATCCGCAAAAACACTTTGTCTGGCACAAAGTTCGACATTTTCAAATGAATAAAAAAATTGTTGTTTATTCTTTAATTAAATGACATATACTGATTAAGACGAGAAATGGTAGCAGCTTCCAGATGAATATAATCACATATGATTACGATGCGAAATAAAACTAGTAACAACATCTCTTAGAAAACCGCACAAATTAAGTTACTCACCCAATATATATATATATATATATATATATATATATATATATATATATATATATATATATATATATATATATATATATATATA